GTGGCTCCCCATAACAAAACCATGCAATGAGTTGACATCCTGGACCTATAGTATCTGGTGATAGGCTCTGTTACCTGTTTACTGTCATCCCCACCTAGTGGTGACAATGGTGTCACTTTCTAGGTAATGGTATTTCTCTTGTTGTTTAAGTCTTCTTTAATTTTACTTTGTAGTTTTTCAATGTGCAGGCCTTTTACATACATTAAAACTTATCCTTAAATATTTCATAGTTTTGAGGATTTTAAATACAGTACCTTTTTTTAAATTTCCAATTTCTCTTTGCTTTGAACATTATACTGAGTTTGGATTCTTAGAGTTTAATCCAAGGAATATCCTGCCTAGCCATGATGTATTATCATCTTACAAATGATAAATCATGGATTTGATATACTGATTATTTTAAGGATTTTTAAAAAATTTTTGTGAGAAACATGGGTCTTCAGTTTCTTTCTTATATGGCTTAGTCTGGAATTGATATTAGAGTGATGCTAAACTTATAAAGTAAGTTCAAATGTATGCCTTCCTCTTTTACTTTCTGAAAGAATGTGTATAAAATTGGTATTATTTATTGCTTGAATAGTTGGTAGAATTAAACTTGAAAAACATTGGGGCCTAATTTTTTCTATGTAGTCTTAAAGGACAAAATTATAATTTTGATTGAAGATTGGTCTGGTATAGTGGAGCACACTTAGATTTAATCCCTACTACAAAAAAGAAAGAAAGAAAGAAAAGAAAAGAAAAAGAAAAAGAGACTGGGGAAAGTGGCATTCACCTGTAATCTCAGCGGCTCAGGAGGCTGAGACAGGAACAGGATTACAAGGCCAGCCTCAGCAATTTAGGGAGGCCCTAAGCAACTTAGCCAGACCCTGTCACAAAATAAAAAATAAAGAAGACTGGGATGTGGCTCATTGTTAAACATGCCCCTGGGTTCAATCCCTGATAATAATAATAATAATAAAAGGAAATGAAATCTAAATTGGCTTCATTTTTTTTTTCTGTTTTAAAATTAAATTTATTTTTAACTAATACTTAAAAATGTACATATTGACTTTATTTATTTATTTTTACTGTACTGGGAATCAAACCTAGAGCCTCATGTCATAGGCAAGACCTAATTTGCTTTATTTTTTATTCTAGAATCAAGCAACATTTCATTTCCTAAAATAGAATAGTGTTCTGATGACCTGAGTGGAAAAGTTTGGTTTTACAGACAGAAAACAGCTTGAAGAAAGCAGAAACAGAAACCAAGAATCAGATTGCTCATTCCATAGTTTCTTTCCTTGTGAGGAAGGAACAGGAAGACATAACAATAATAAAATAATTGATTAGCTAATATCAGGTTATTTCGGGTTACTTCTTTTACATAAGGATTAATGTATCATTATCATGCCCACTGAAACTGGTCTGTTTTGGAAATTTGGCTGTTATCTTTCCAATCTTAATTTCCCCAGAGGTCAAACAGCTTATTATCAGCTTGACAAAGTGAAGCTTTAGCATAAATAAACTCCATTTTGATTTTTGAGTGTTGGGGTTCCATGTAAGAACAATGACCTACTATAATTTTTACTTACCTGGCAATTCTTGGTGTTCCTTGGCTTAAGGCCAATAATTGAATCTCAGTTGTCACTTTCACATGACCTTTCTCCTTTATATCTGTGTTATCTATGTTTAAATCTCCTGCTCTCCTTTTTTTGACTGGGGATTGAACTCAGGGGCACTTTTCTCCTGAGCTACATCCCCTTTTTTAAATTTTGAGACAGGGTCTAAATAAATTGCTGAAGTTGACCTTAAGCTTGGGATCCTCCTGCCTCAGCCTCCTGAGGCACTAGGATAACAAGCATGTGCCACCAAGCTGGCTCTTTCTCTTTACTCATAAAATCACCAGTCACTGGATGATGGTTCTCCTAAACCTTCATCAAAAGTTGATTACTTCCAGGTTTGGTGCTACACACCTAAAAAATCAGCTCCCTGGGAGGCTGAGGCAGGATAATCACAAGTTCAAGGCCAGCCTGGGAAAATTAGGGAGTGCCTACCTTAAAATAAAATAAAAAGGGCTGAGGGTATAGCTTGGTGGTAGAGTACTTACCTAGCATGTACATAACCTTGGGTTTAATCCCCAGAACCTCAAAAAAACAAAACAACCACAAAAAGGAAAGGAAAGAAAGATTTTGATTACTTCTGCAAAGAGTCTATTCCCAAGTACAATCACATTTACAGGTACTGGGAATTAAGACTTTCTAAGGGACACAATTCAATTCACAACATCCTTGGAAGTTTTATCCATAAATTTAGAATAATACCTCAGAGTGTTTTAAAAGGATTGAATATTTGGCTTCAAACAATTATTTAGTAAATGATAATAATGATATAAATAACAATGCAGTGAACTTTAAAGACTGCTTTATTTATTTGTTTGTTTGTTTGTTTTTGGTACTAGAGATTGAACCCAGGGGTGCTTAACCACTGAGCCACATCCCAGTCCTTTTTTATATTTTATTTAGAGACAGGGAGTTGCTAAGTGCCTTGCTAATCTGCTGAGGCTGGCTTTAAACTCATGATCCTCCTTGCCTCAAGCCTCCCAAAGTGCTGGGATTACATGCGTGCACCATTGCACCTGGCTATAGACTGCTTTTTTTATGTACCAAATCAACATCTTCCCCTTCTTCAGGATGGATCATAATTCACAGGTTTGGTTTTTTGTTTGTTTGTTTTTTATTTGTGTGTGTGTGTTTGCACATGTCAATTGTTTGTTGTTGTTGAAAACTGCATAATAAAATATTATGTTGTAGCAAAAAAAGCATCTTAAATATTTCTCAAATATTTTATGTACATTAACTCTTCAAATCCCCCATCAATTCTATTAGGTAAGTTTATAACTATTTTCCTTCCACATATGAGAAAAGCAATCTGCTACAGGTACCTCAGTCATCACGTAGACCACCTGAGGTTTAAGCATAGACAGTGGGATCTACTTCAACAAGTTCTCAATCAAGATGAACAGAGGTAACATCCAGGCATAAAGGATAATTTTAGAATTATCTTGCCATTTATGGTACTTACAATAATTTAGTAGTCATTTTTTTCATTAAAGTAAAAACATAATTTAAAATTTTGCAGTGATTTCAAGAGGCTATGCTCTCTGATTACCTGTCCCATCCTATGTACTTCTCATATTCTTTCCTTGCCTTATTTTTCTCCACAGATTTTGTAAGTAGCTAATAAGTTTACTTATTGTACATATTAATATGTACTTATGTACACATACATATAAAATCTATCAGAGCAGGGATTTTTCTTAGCTTTTTTTCATTGCTATATTTCTTGCTTTCAGAAGTATATATGGGGCATAAAAGACAGGCAGTCAATGTTTGTTGAGTTAATGGATGAACAAATGGAAAACAAAAGGCATTAGAAATTCTGTGAATCCCAAAGCTAAGTTGCTTTAAATACTTGGCACAATTCTTCTGTCTGCTCTTTTCTCACAGTTTGTTGTCCTATCTGGGAGTACTTGGGTCTAGGAAATTTTAGCTTCCAGTCAATCATCATTTGCAAGGTTTCTGGTTCTTTCCTTGAGAGGATTAATATCGGCAAATAACTGTTTTTCTTCTTTTCTTCAAAATGGCAAATACAAAGTTGGCCATATAACTCAGTGGCAGAGTGCTTGCCTAGCATGTGGGAAACCCTGGGTTTAGTCTCTAGCAATTAAAAAAACAAGACGAGGTTGCCCCGCAAACATTCTAGTTTTCCTTTTAAGTTGACGAATCGTACCTTATGAAATAAGTTATAGAATTGGAGATTGGTAAGATACAGAGATATCATATATACAGCTAAGTACGTTAAACTGAACACATTGTAGCCGCTCAAAAACATTTTAATGCAAAACTTAGGTTAAAAATGATTGAAGGTGTATGCATTCCACTTCCGAAAGGTATTGCATTTGAATTGTTACGTTTTTAAGAATTTACTTCTTTTCAAAGTAAAGAATCTTTGTTATAAGTTTGGTGAGAATTTGAAGGGATGATCAGTAATTGGCCAACATAAAATGATTTTCAGAAAGAGCTAATTTGCCAGGGCGAGAAAAAAGGGAGAACGAAAGGCCCTACTGGGAGTCGAACCCAGGATCTCCTGTTTACGAGACAGGCGCTTTAACCAACTAAGCCATAGAGCCACACGAGAGGCGGAAAAAGAACTGAATCTATCACATTTTATGTGGACTAGATATTTTAAAAAATTGGTTTTTATTATCTGGTGTTATCAGTTGTCCTCACAAGATGTACCAACTCCAAAAAGACATTTCATTTCTTTTGGATGCTCTGAAGATATAAGAGTACACCAGGAAAAGTATTCGGCAGTTAACGGCGTTAAACAAAGGATTTTTTTTTCTCTATTATTTCAAGGAAAGTCATTTCAGAAAGTCGAGGCTATGCAGCATATGATAAAGACCATTACAAACAGATAAAATACACACCTCTGACTCTTCAAAAAGTCGCATAGAAAAGGGGTCCCTAAGTAACAAAGTAACTCGCTTGGAGTGCCTGAAACTGCCAGATTTGTCAGGGGACGGGCCTTAAGATTAACTTCAGCTGCAAGTGTCAGCCCGTTTAGTTACTCTTCGAGCCTCCTACTGTCTGTTTTCAAGAGGACCACGGTAAGATCTGTTCCACCTGGGGCCAGCCAGCCTCGAGAGGAGTGCAGAGATGCAAGAGGGGCGGCTCCGGTCTAAGGTATTGGGTGCACACTTGAAAAAATCCCACCAAGAAAAAGCCAAGTATTCGGCCAAGTGTCCTCTCGCCCTTTGTCCTCTTCGCCTGCTCAGCTTGGTTTTTTTGTTGTTGTTGTTTGTTTGTTTGTTTGTTTTTCACTCTGGCAGTTCTAAAAATCATTTCGCAAAAGAAAAACGCTTTCTCTCCATCTCAGTCTTGCAGCCTGTAGTGACCTCTGCTTTGCTTCCCGCTCTCACCCCCCACCAGAAACTGGGGCGGGTGGGCTGTGAGCCTGACCGAGGCTTGGGGCCTGGGGGAAGGCCGGGGAAGGGCGATGGGCGTAGTGGTGAGTCTGTGGGTCCCGGGCCCCAGGGACTGGCGGGGGCTGAGACCGCCAAGGGATGAGGGGCAGGGAGCGGGAGACCCGGGCACTATCCCAGATCAGGGATAGTGGGGTTAGAGGCGGCAGGGTTCGTCTTCTCAGGGACTGGGAGGACTCTTCCCAGACCTTCTTCAAATTCAAAAGCTCTCTGCTCCGAACTTTGGGAATTAAGGCCTTGAACACTTTCAACAACAACAAAAAATAGTAGGTCTGTCTGCACAGACATTTCTTTCCATGTCTTTCAAAGTAAGAACTTTATTTAAAAGCAGGGATTTGAATTCCCAGTGAGGCTGGGAGTAGGTAGAAGAGCTCTTTGTCTTCCAGTTGCGATGTTAAAACTAACTTCCGGCTGATGACGCCTAAAACGTAGGTGGAAAACTTGATCACTAAGCGTAACCACCGTCTCAGAACCAGGTTGGTCATGGTGATTTTCAAATGAATCTCAAAAGTTGATTTTTCTAGACTCTAAAAGATTTTATTCTCCTGGGCGTAAAAGCTACTTCCTCTTTTCAACTGCGTAGCATAAAAGACAGTACAGAACCAAGGGACAGCTACCTAAAACGGCATTTTTTTTTTTTTTTAACTCTAGTTGGTAGAACTACAAAGTAATGATGCAGGATGGAGCATCTGATGTTTGGCAGGTGGGAATCCTGAATAGGTCTCTGCACACAATTTTAACTCTGATTTTCCCAAATTAAAGGACATGAAGTTCTTGATGAGTGTGTATTGAAAGGAAATGGAGAATATGCACAATGTTTGTAGTAAATTCAAATTTGGTACGTGTCTCTTGAACATTAGAAATAGCCTCTAAAAGAATTTGCTCTTTGTAGAAGTAAAGTAGGTAAGCCATCCACAGTTTTAGTCTCTTGGGAGTTTGCCGATTGGAACTCCATTTCCATCCATCATTTTCAAAGTGAGTCTTGGATATAAGCCCCCAGAGGGGTCCAGGGAGAGAGCTCACGTTTTGTGCTGCAGTGTTTTGCCCTCTTGGAAATTGCTGGTTTGGAAGAGATGTGTTCAGGAAAAAACTTTATCTTTAACATAATGAATTAAGCGCAATTAAGTTTCAGCTACAAGAAGAGCTTTTTCCTTATTTCCCCTTCTTTTTCATATCTTTGGCAAGATTTGAAGTCTAAAAGAATAGAATTTTATTTTTTACTTGTCCCAAACTTGAAATGTGTCAAAGCACATGGTCCTCATCTCTTTACCCAACTCTCACTCCCTACCCCACCTCATCTCCCAGATCCAGCCTTAAAGCCAAACACTAACTTTTGTGTTTCCTTCTATGGATATGTTCTGCACATATAAGTAGTACATGTGTGTATATCATTATTCCCACTGTAATATTAACTGATAGGGTATCCAACACTCTAACCCTTAATCATATAATGATTCAAATAGAAAAACACGAACCACCCCCCCCCCGCCCCCGCCATTACTTTGGTGGCTAGTATTCTGTTGAATTTATCCAATCAGTCACTTGCCTTTACTGTCAAAGCTGCCATGAACAACTGTGAACATTGACTATTTCACACATTTGTGGAAAGTTTCTGCCAGTGGAATGGATAAATCAAAAATTGATGTGGTAATTTTGATGGATTATCCCCTAGACATTAATGACAATTTTTTATGCCCAACAGCAACATTTGAGAACCTATTTACCATACCATGACCAGCAATGTTTATGAAATAGTAACAGCATTTATTTAGGGCTTATTGTTTATGGGGCATCTACTATCTTTACATTCTTAAGACTTAATCTTCATAAAAATCCTATGAAAATATTACTGTTTCCCCATACCTAACAGATAGGAAAACAAATTTTTTTTCAGTTTAAATAGATTGTTTAAAGAGAATGAACAGAAGAATCAAGCTTATATATCTAGGTTTGTAACAAAGGGTTTTGCTTTTGTTTTTTGTTTCTCAATTTGATGAAGAAGAATGGTGGGCTGGAGCTGTAGCTCAGTGGTAGAGCACTTGCCTGACACATGAGAGGTGCTGGGTTTGATCCTCAGCACCACATAAAAATAAGTGAATAAAATAAAGATGTTATGTCCATCTACAACTAAAAATATTAGAGAGAGAGAGAGAGAGAGAGAGAGAGAGGAAGGAAGAAGAAGAAGAAGAAGAAGAAGAAGAAGAAGAAGAAGGAAGAAGGAAGAAGAAGAAGGAAGAAGGAAGAAGGAAGAAGAAAGAAGAAGAAAGAAGAAGAAGAAAGAAGGAAAATTCTATAGATATTTTTCCCCTAAATATTTTTTCAAAAATTTTAAAGCCACTTGCTTTTCCTTTCTATGAAGTTACTTATAATCTTTTTCCCTTTTCCTTCAGATTATTTTTTCTTTGTTGATATATGTTATCTGTATTTTTTTTAATGTGTGTTCTTGTGTATGTTTAATGGGTTGTAAAATAGTGAGTTGAGACCATTGTCTTTCAGACACCAAAGAGAATCTAAAAGAATTAAAACAGTTTTACTCATCCCTTTACCAGGAAGCAAGAAAAGGTATACAGTCTGTAAGGAAAAGTTGGGGAAGAAGTAAAAATTCCTATCTGGGAACTGTTACCCTGCCCTAAAGCTTATACTGCTTAGGTGACCTAGCTGAATTTCTACCACACCCTAATCTTGCTTATATTTAAGGCCAGAAGACCAGAAGGCTGGAAAGCCCTCTTCAGGAGGGCTAGCTAAAAGTGGTTAGATCTTAGATGGCTGCCAGCATGACCTAGACAACCTCTAACCTCTTTATAATAAAAGACTTGAATATTACTCCCCATTGTTAGCTCACCTCTCTTCCTCATTTCTTTTACCTTTACCTATAACCTTCTGTTCCTTGGGAAATAGGAAATTGATTTGTAAGTTTATTTCCCATTTCTCCTATTCTTGACCAAGAATAAAAGTCTCCACTATTCAATTGGTGCCAAGTCTTATTATTAGTTCCATAATTGTGACAGGGAAAAAGGGTCAAAATTGGGAACAAAATTTCCCAGAGATTCAAAGAAAATAATGCTTGTAATCTGAAACTTGAAAGAACAAGAGAAAACTTGTAGTGAGAGCAATGAAGGCAAAAGAAAATGAGAACTGGTTTTGACCCAAATCACAATATGGGTCAAATGAAAGATATGTGAAAGAAAATTATTTTGACATTTGTTAAATGGTAAGGAAAACTTCACTTAATATTGTTGTAATAGGTTAATATCATTGCAATAAGGAGAAAAGACTGAACACTGAACCCAACTCTGAATACAAAAGGGACAAGTGGAAATTTATAGCCAAAAAGCAGGGGAGGGGAGTTAGTGGATGGAAAATTACTAAGAAGAAACATCAAGGGAAGAGAGATTTTTTTGCTAAACTGGCCTAATAGGATTCTTGTTAACAGCAGGACAAGGGCTTACATATCAAGAATGAGGAGTAAAGAATTCAATCAGTTTACCTTACAGACACAAATCCCTCAATCTTTAACTTCCAGAAAGAATGCTTTGCCTTTTTGTTTCTTTTTCTTTTTGTTTCTTTTTTTTTTTTAAATGTATTTACAAGATCCTTTGACAATTTCCAACCCTGGGGCTTCTGACTTGCTGATAATCTCAAAGGATTTACCTACTACTTAACTAAAAACCCACCCATAAGAGTCCCCTTGCAACCAGTAATATATGACTAGACCCTCAGCGCCAATCTCAATTTGTTCAAAATGACTTCTATAATAATACAGCCAATAAAAAATTGTTCAAAATAAGTTACTCACTCCAGTGTTCCCCTATCTTCAAAAACTTCAGTCCTCAGTCCTTCTTCCCTAGACAGGATACTAATGTAGGGTTTTTGTTGTTGTTGTTTCTGGTGATTAGAACCCAGGGCCTTACTGTATGTAAAGCAAGTACTCTACTAACTGAGCTATATCCCTAGCCCCTTAAACCTGGGTCACCTAATTTGCAAATCTAATCTGTACCCAAATAAAAACTATCATTGCTTTGATTTTATGTTTGTTTATTATTTCTTGATTCACATTGTAAAGGATATTACAAAGGGTACAGATAAAAAGGTGCTTAAGGCAAGGTGGGTACATGAAGGGTACATTATCTATTCTTTATTCAGGGAGGCCATGCTCTAGAAATTTCCATGTGTTCTCCAAATCTTATTTTTTAGGGGTTTTTGTTTTGTTTTATGTTTTTGTTTTGTTTTAGTTATACATAGACACAACATCTTTATTTTATTTATTTATTTTTATGTGGTGCTGAGAATAGAACCTAGTATCTCACATGTTTGAGGCAAGCATTCTGACACTGAACCACAACCCCAGCCCCTGTTGTTTAGGGTTTTTATTGGAGGTTTCATCCCTATCACCCAGGAAAATGACAAGAGCTTTAGAAATTCTATGCTGGGAACCAGAAGTAGAATCTAAATATATGCAGTTGCCCATGACCCTAAAGTTATGTGACAAGGGTCCATTGCAGAGCTGAGGTAGCTCTCTCACTTGTGATCATGCCAGAAGGATTTCAGACATGTTGCTCTGAAAACATGGTCTGTGTAAGGGTCACAAATACCCCCACCACCTTTGGGTAACTTGTGTTATGGTATTTCTGGCAGATAACAGTTGTTTGCTAAGGAATGTAAATATTCTGTTGATTTTAGCCAAGCAGGGTTGTGGGTAAATTGTTTTTGTTAAAAAAAAAATGCTTGTGAGGGTCTGCACTATGGGTTCATGTTCCCACTGCTCACAACTATTACTTATCACTATCGGACACCAAAATCTGAAGAAACTCAAGTCTCATATAAAATGACCTGGCATTTGTATATAATCTATGTAGTCCTCCTCTATACTTTAAATCTTCTCTAGGTGACTTAAAATAACCAATCCAATATAAAATGCCATGCAAATGATTGTATACTGTGTTGTTAAGGGAATAATTAAAGAAAAAAGTCTGTACATGGTCAGTACAAGCACAATATTTTTTTCCTAAATACAGTATTTTCCATCTGTGATTGTTTGAATCCACCAATGCAGTATGGCTGTGGCTGTGAACAGGAGTCTGTAACCACATGATTACAATAGAAATTCTCCTCACTCATTGTATGTCAAAATGGCAAATGTTTCTGCAAATTCTCCATTGCTTAAAGCAGTAGTCCTCAAACTTTAGCAAGAATTAAGATCACCCGGAAGGCTTTTGAAAACCCTAATTGCTGGGCCTACTCCCAGAATTTCTGATTCAGTGAGTCTAAGAAAGATATGAAAAGTATATTTCTAAAAAAAAATCTCCAGTAATACTACCGCTACTGGCCAGGGACCACACTTTGTGAAGCATTTTCCTAGGAATAGAAGTCACGAAAGGGAAAATGGTGATTGAGTGAAGGATTGTCAGTGTCCTTTTCTCAGGGTCTCCACTGGGGATCATCCTGAATATTGAGTTGTTTGTGAGGGGGTGATAGATGCCTATGGTCTTACCAAATTTGCTCTACTGGGATAGTGGTGCCACCTCCACTAGCACTGAATGTTGGCTATTAATGGCTTACAGCTGAAATTCTTTAGAGTATTTTCTTCAGCCAAAGGGAGTGCCTTTAAGCCCCAAGGGTGAACCCACAAGCCAAAGAATGACTGCATTACAAAGGCCATCCCTCTTCCTTCCAGAGGGGACCATCATAGTGTAATTTATTCTGATGCTAAACTCCATTAGACTGGATTTCAGGAAATAAGACATAAAGGAAATTGCATCTTTACTTCTCTTTCCCCTGCCCTATCCTGCTTCATGGATTCCCTTTCTTTTGAGATGGCTCTCCTAATTATTTATGTGTGTCTGAGTCCCAGATTCTGTTTGTAGGGAACAAAAACCAAGTCAAGAGTTTGTGAGACCACAGGAACAAGATTTGATGTGTTCTGGAATGAACCATGGCCTATTATTTTTCATAGAAACATGGAGCAAAAGTTATTCTAATTAGGTTTCCGGTCTTGTGGCTTCTAGCACTGACACAGACACATCCAAAAGCTAAAAAATGCCAGTGTCCACACAATCCACAGGGAAGATGTTGCATTCACAAATTAACTCATATAGAGGAGACTATACTGGAATCTTATATCCAGAAATGGGCTACTGAGTAAATCTTGGGATAGGATAATTAGAAGGTCTGAGTCCTGGTTTTCTGGGAATTTAGAACCTTCTGAACCTGCCTGAGAACCCTCCCCAAAGGTTTTGTGATCAATAGTGCATAGAAATTCCAGATGTGTCATAGGTTCTCAGTGGTATTGTGGCTTTATGGAACTAACTAGCTCCAATTTACCTGATGTGCCTGAGATGTGGGAACTTCTTATTGGAAGGAAAAGTTCCATAGCAAGAGCAACTCCTGTGATGAAAATCATAGTCACTATGATAGCAATAACAATCATTTAGCTCCTATAATAGACGAGACCTCTTGAGCCACTCTTGGGAAGTCCACCTCTTCCCAGAAGTTTCTGTGTATAGCTTTCCTTGGTCACTGAGAACTATAATGGGGATTGGTTGAGGAGAAGAGAATTAGAATTTTTTTCTTTATCCTCTTTCTATAAAAATTTTTACATTATTATCAACATTTTTGTCATTGTTTGCAACATTCTAATCTGCTTACCCAACACCTGTCATCCCTTGGCAGACATTTTTTGTTTCTACTTTTCCTGACTTTGGCTCTTCTCATAACATTTACTTTTCTCTTCGGAGGACAGCCACTGGAGGGCATCAGAAGTATAGAGGTTGAATTTTTCAGAGCCACAGCAAGATTGCAAACTCTCACAGATATTCCAGCACAATATGCTTAAATTAAAGGCTCTTTCTTCACTACTTTAGGAATGTTGCTCCCCTTGAGCATTTACTTCTCTACAGCAACAATGCCTGAGATGGTAATGATAGTAATAATAATCTAACTTCTCTCTCTTTTATTTTTTAAATTTGTTCTTTTTAGTTATACATAACAGTAGAGTATACTTTGACATATTTATACAAACATGGAGCAAAACTTATTCTAATTAGGTTTCCAGTTTTGTGCTTGAACATAATGTGAAGATTCACTGTGGTATATTCATATATGTACATAAATAATCTAGCTTCTATAAGACTAGATAAACCAGTATCTGAAAAGAGTTGTATACACTGTGTCACCTCATCCTCCACCCACTTGCTGGACCTTACTTATCCTGATCTGAAAATAGTCAACAGATCTGAAACTCTCTGGAGAACTGTTGAGGTCTGGGGATGGCTTTAAGAACTTCAGAGATTGAGAAGAATTCAAAATTAACACACATTTCTCAATACCACTTGTGGCTAATTCTGTTATGTCCTTACTGTCCTTAAAACTGCTATGGCACCAGATAAAGGATAATGAAAGTCTCAAATCCTATAGTTTATGGTCAAGAATGGCCAGATTTTTTTTTAAAAAAAATTCATTTCCCTATTAGATTTTGAATTCAAGAAAGCAAAGCATCCAAATTTTTTATTTTTCTCTTATGTGCCTGCCACTTAGAAATTTTAGGTTCTTAAAAATAACTTTCCTAATCAAAGGGAGATCAGTAGAGGAAAGGGAACAAGGGATAGGAGGAGGGGAGGGATGGAAGAAGTGCTAGGGCCCATTATATCATTAAATTTTGTGCATGTATAAATATGTAACAACAACTCTTATTGTTAGGTAGGTACAGCAATAAAAAATATACTAATAAAAAATGTGGAAATAAAAATAAATTTTTAAAATAAAAAAATCATTTTCGTAATCATTTCTGTTTAGTTTGTCAATTTCCATGTTCCTATATAAAAAATTAAGTCAGAGATTGGGGGGGAGGGGAATCTCCACACTTAATGGCTTGCTTTTGTTACTTTTCAAACCACTCCCTCTGGCATTTTGCCAGGCACCATCCAGACTTGTTTACCAACTCTAACATTCCCCTGGCAAAATACCAGGTGTTATTTTGACTTGTTTACAGACCTTAACAAGAGATCATATTTCTACTTAAGTATGCAGCAGAATTATGATCCCCATAATGTTTGATGTTACTCACTGATATATACTGCTTCTGAAACAATTCTTCCCACCCCACCCTCTCTCTCACAAATACACACACATAATGTTATATTTCCTGCACTTTTGTGTGGTGTTATGGATTAAACCTAGGTATACTCTTACCACTGAACTACATCTTCAGTCCTTTTTTATTTTTTATTTTGAGACAAGATCTTGCTGGGTTGCTGTGGATCTTGCTAAATTGCTGAGGCTGGCCTTAAACTCTTTGCCATGCCAGACTTAAGTGTAAAATATTTTAAAGTGCAGCCACCTGTGCCAAAATAATCTATTGAAAATAAGAGAAAAGCAACTATTTTATTTTCCTTCTCACCTAATATTTTCTTTCCTTTGTGTCTTATTTCCTGAAATCTCAGTCTATTATAAAATATTTAGTTTCAATTATAAAACTATGGGAGACTAACCTCGTACTTGACTGAGTTAACTCCCCTGCTGGGCAATGAGGCCTTAGGCACCCATGCTGCTATACTGTCCCGCTCTTCTAGGGTTCGAGTGACTGTGTCTTCCTACAGCCCCATGGGTGAAGCTACACTCAACTATTCCTTTGTAATATAATCCCTTGCCCTGTTTAGGACAGAATCTTCCATGGAACTGCCTTGTGTGTGTCCCCTTCTCTTACTGTGTCCTTGGGTGTGGCCTACCTAGATGTCAGTCAACCTGCTGACATGAAAATAGACTCAGCCCCCTGAAACCTGACCCCTTGCCTCATTTGAATAGCTTTTCCTCAATAAAATGGGTCAGGGCAGGGGTGCCTGTGTCTGTGTGTGTGTGTGTGTGTGTGTGTGTGTGTGTGTGTGGGAGGGCACTCTCTCTCTTTCTGCGGACCCTTAAGGTCAGAGGAGCCATCACAGAGACCCCAAAGAAAAAGGTATTTGTGTCTCTTGTGTGGTTATTTTCCGCAGCCCAGTCAGCCCAGTTTATCTGGAGTGACCCCTGAGCCTTTTAGTCACGAACTGAAACAACAAAGGGAAAGTCGGGCTTTTCAGAGGTGTTTTGAATCTCCAATTAGGAGTTTTTTTGTTTTCTTTTTTTTTTGATACATTTTTTATATTTTTTCTGCTTTTATGTGTATTCAGATTTTAATAGTATGAAAATTTTATAAACAGAAATTTATGTGTATTTATTAGAAGTGGGGGGAGGGGGAGAGGGAGGATTCTTTCAGAAGCAAGAACTTCTCTCATACAGGCGCTTAGCCAGGAGACCTGAATAGGAGGCATAGAGGCGTCTGACATTAAGAGGTCAGTGCTCCCACTGGGGATGTAGCTTAGTGGTAGAGTGCCTGCCTAACATGCATGAGGCCCTGGATTTGATTGCAGCACCCCACACACTCACAAAAGAGATCACAGCAGCTGTATGTCTACAGTTTCACCCAGTAATTTTGAATGTGCCAAGGTAAGCTCTAAAGTGCTTTTGAGAGAAATAAAATTCTGAGAAGCAAAGTAAGGAGGTTAAGAAATCAGGAACAAAGAATAGGTATGAATGCAGACAAAATGTGGGACTGGAAAAACATCATTGAAACCAAGTTGCTGCAGAATTTTTTTTTTATTTTTTTTATTTGTGTCAATGATATGCTTAAAGTTGGGGAGACTTACAGTGAGGAGAAAACCCATGTTCAGAATGAAAGGACATTCCTGCCCAGGTGCCATGACCTGAATGCACTAAGGGACAGGCACCAAGGAAGGTTCTGGTGGGGTCCGGCTCAGAGGGGCTTTAGGACCCACCATCATGGAAATGCCCCTCCTTTTATGTGAGGTGAGGTTTTTGCTCTCACTGTGTCTCCAGAATCCTACACTAGAATTATAGAGTGGCAGAGGAATAAAGGAGAACGAAGCAAGGAGAGCAAGTTTAACAAAGCATGCCCTCCTTGGAGGACAGTGAGGCTAGGAAGGTGACCTAGAGAGTCTTGTCTACTGGGTATCAAACTGCTTTAGGTATTCCAGGATGTCCAATTTGACTGTACTGACTGGAATCTGGTGGAACCAGCGCATGACAGGGACTCCATCAGGCCCCACCAGGAACTTCTCAAAGTTCCAGCGGATATCATGGACCTTCATGGGCTCCCAGAAGAGTTGTTTTGAAGAACCCAAAAGTTCAGAGGTTGGAGGGCAGGAATTCTGGAGTACAGATATGAAAAATGGAAAAATAAGTTTATTTCTGCTTCTATGTGGTCTGGTCTTCTTCCTACACCTAGGGGGTTTTCTTGCCATTATTATTTCCTCTATTATACATTTTAATATATTAACTATTTAAGATACTTCTAGTCAACCATAGACATTTCAATGTATCATCACCAATACACCAAATACCAAACAACCAGAAGGTAAAAAGCATAACAATAAACAGAGAGCACTCTCCCTTTGTCTCTCTTCTATTCCCATGATTTTATCATGGTATATCAGTAAAAGAGTATCTTCCATTTTCTTAGGCAAGTCATATTCTTTTTTAATTCTTTTTTTATTTATTTTTTATGTGATGCTGAGCATCGAACTCAGAGCCTCACACATGCTAGGCAAGTGCTCTACCACTGAGCCACAACCCCAGATGAGGGCAAGTCATATTCTATAGTTTTATTTTTCTTAGGTAAAAAATAATAGGTTGGTTTAAAGGAATAAGTCCCAGAATTAGGATTTCATAGGCCCCCCCAAAAAAATTCAATAGCTATTTTTTAAATACTAATATAGAATTATCAACATTCATTTTGACATAAGAATATACTATAGCCATAAAGGACTTTTCAATATTAGGCTTAGCTGCTCAAAAATGATGATATCACTATTTTTTGAGTAATAAAAAGTCAATTTATATGGTGTAACCTAATGGTAATTTGTTATGGATAAATTATAGTCTTTTATATGCAATAGGTTGGGATTTATTGAAAACTTTCTATATTGTCCACCCCACCCCCTGTTCACTGTGGTTGGGTGAAAATATCAAGAACCAGACTTGTCCTGCAGATAAGAATTTGGGGACAAGGGTACTAAGATATCCTAGGGAGTCCTTCTATCCTAGTATTCTCTTGTTTTAATGTTCTGTAATTCAAAATTCACTTACCATATGACACTCTACCCTATCCATATCTGTGTTTGTCTCCTGAATAAATATATGAGTTTATTCAGGAAAGAGGATTCATCCTATTAGTATTTGTTAACTCATTGTACAGCATAGTCCTTTGCACATGTTAGGGATTTAATAAATTATTATTAATGAATGAATTATTATCATTCAGTAAGGGAGGTTAGTTCATGTCAGAGCTATCAGATATTACATGTTTCCTCTACTTGAAGCCAAGTCTTCATAGGAGTTATTGCCATAATTTTTAACAGAAAATCTCTTTTTAACACAAGCCCCTTTGCTTTCAGTTTATCTCTACCGATAGAAACCAATCCATGCCAAGTTTATGTTTACTCACCTTGAGGAATGTAAAGACCTTCTGTTCTTTTTCTCCATTTACATCACCTTTCTCAAAGAGCTGAAAATTGGGGACAAAGCCACCACCTGGACGCACATACCTGCAGGAACCAATGGGGATCCAAATTAAGACAAGAAAGGATAGTAATGCTACCAAACTTTACCACAAAAAGAAATCAGAGATTAAAACGAAGATGTTGTAGACAAAGAAGGTAAAGAGAGGGTCCCCAAGAATCAGGATTTTAACCATAGACTCTAAGGAGCCAATAAAGAATTCCAAGAAATTGGGAAGGCAAGTTTCCTGATTCATTTTCATTTCCTGTATTCCCTCCTTTTCTCCTGGACTTCTTTTCTAGTAAATCCTCCCGTGGTTTGACCATCAAAAAAATTCAACGGTAGAGAGAACAGGCCAGGGGTGTAGTTCAGTGGTAGAGTTTGTTTATCATTGACCCTGGGTTCAAAAAAAAACAAAAAGAAAAAGAAAATGGGGAGAGCAAATATTTGAACACTGCCAACACGGACAGATTGAATCCAAAGCTTCATAGCATTGTGGTGATATTCTTCAACCCATTTGATCTATCAACCACCCGAGAAATTCCTAGAATGGGAGGGCCTCTAGGCAGAATGAGGAAGGGGAATCATGACAGCCTCTGCAGGACCCCATGCAGGCACTCACTTGAGCCCAGAGAGAATCTCTGAGTTTTTTCCTGGTTCTTGTTTTCCAAATTGATTACAAGGAAAGCCCAACACAATGACATCTAAATGCTTCAGCTCCTCCTGCAGTGCATTCAGTTCTGTAGGTAGAGGACAGTATAGGTCAACTAGTCAGAAGCCCTACCTCAACCAGTGAAAGACCACTAGATTTATCCATTTATCACATGAATAACCAGAAGACTATGAAAGAAGAGTTTCTAGTTATAGAGACGGATCAGGCAGATCAAAAAACTATCACACAAGTTTCCAGAATCTCATCGGAGTTGTTGCCAGTTTAGTGTTTCCCATAACTGGCTATACTTCACCTTCCAATAGAAGCTCTTATTTAAAGCAAACAAACACAGACTGGTTAGTCTTGCAAAGCATCCTATTTGATTGTGAAGAGAAGCCGGACTTGAATTCTGCTGCCTTTGTTAGTTGATGGGTTTGATTGAGCAAATATTTTTTCAAGAAAAAGGCAAACGGAATGGACATATTACCCTCCTCTCCCCTCCCCTATATGTCCCACGGTGACACAACCCGACACTTCAATCAAGTTCCAAGGAGCACTCTGCTGGGAGTGGTAGAGGGAATCAGAGAAATTCCAAGCCTGGCTCCAAAGCATTCTCTACTTTCTCATTAATTCGAGTGATCTAACTGATGCCATTTCCCTGGATCACTCAACAGGATCCCAGGTCACAAACTCCAAATTTCTCTTTGCCACTGTCAGGAAGCCTCCGACTTACCTGACTAGATTTGTGCCAGGATTTCCATCTTCAGCTATTTTTAGTTCAGATTTATTCAGTCCCCAGAACCACCCACAGCCAGACTCATTTAGACTCAGCTCTGCTGGCACTTCCCCTAAGAACTCCGAACCTCTTCCCTTCCTATGTTTCTTCAAATTCTGTCCACACCTCAGCTCCTTCTTCTCTTTGGCTATCAAGAGTACTTCCTTCTTTAAGAAAAAAAATTGCTTTTTGGTTGTAGTTGGGCACAATGCCTTTATTTTATTCATTTATTTTTAATGTGGTGCTGAGGATCGAACCTAGGGTCTCCCACATATGCAGTGAGCGCTCTACCACTGAGCCACAACCCTATGCCATGAGTTTTTCCTTCTTATAGCTGAAAACTTAGCAGACCTTGATTGTAGGGCTTTGGCAAGTTCCTTTGACTCTCATATGAGTTCATTTCCTCATATGGAGTAAAATTTGAATGAGATGCTCTCTAAAATTCTCATAAACAAGGTCAATAAATTATATCATAGCAACACAATGGATAACTTCAACTTAAAAATGAATGAGAAAACTCACCATGTAACTGACACAGAATAACATCCAAGATATTTTATTATGTGAAAAGCAAGATACAGAATCAGAGAGACACAGACAGAAGAGGAGGAAGAAGAAGAAGAAGAAAATATTTGCTTATAGTTGCATAAAAGATTTCTGGAAATATATATCATAAAATTTTAACAACAGTTGCCTAAAAGAAAGAGAAAATGAACAGTGTCCCTGTTGAACCCTTTTGTATCTTTTGAATTTTGAACGTTGTGAATGAATTACCTATTCATTCAACACATAAATTTAAATTAGGGACTGGGATATAGCTCAGTGGAAGAGTACAGACTTTCTACACGTAAGGCCCTGGTTTCAATCCCCAGCACTACAAAGAAGAAGAGAAAGAAAAGAAACAAGAAAGAAAGAAAGAAAAAAAACAGAACTAAATGAAAGCAGTTTTAAAAGCAGGTTCATGTCCCATGCATCCACCATTCACGCATTATGAATTTTTATATTTACCATATTTTCCAAATTTAACCATTTGAAAGAAAGAAAATTTAGACTTACTAAATGATACTAAACTCTCATTCGGATTCTTATAATTAGGTACATTAGGTACTGCACGCTTACTCTCTCTCTCAGATCCCCAGTCCTGGGGATCAGACTCAGGGCTATATTCACAAACCCCTAATCTGTACTTTTGTGAGTATCTTTTTGTTAAACAATGTATCTAATAATTTCTGAGAAGGCCAATGGTTGCCTGTAATATATGTTCCCCTTAGGATATAGATATGTTCAGGGTACAGCTATTCCTAGTAATCTTTGATCAAATCTTTGGGAAAGTCTAAATTCTCAAATCTGGAGATATTTCTTCTGGCATTCTAAGAAGCAGAGCAATAAAAGGATTCAGGGGAATAGACTCTCACATCTTCACTTATCCCATCTCCCACCCACAATGACACATTAGTAAAACAGTCAAGAATTAGAATATGGCTATCTGACAAAACTAGTTCACAAAGAGTTGAACTTTAGTTCTTACCAGGATACTGAGCTGTCAAGCCTCAATAGGTGGCCACGTTGACGAAGAGGACATGCTTGCCAGCATACTTTTTGAACTGGATGTACTCCTCACCACTGAGAGTGAGGGCTCCATACTCATAGATGGTGCCAGTCACCCCTTTGTTGCAATCCATCTGAAATGTAACAAAACTATAATATAATCCTATAAACAATAACTCCCAACATCTGTGGATTTGTGGTGGTGGGGGGAGAGTATTGTTTGTTTTGTTTCCTGGAGCAGGGTGTGTGTGGGGGGGGGGTACTAGGGATTGAACCTAAGGGGTGCTTAACCACTGAGCCACATCTCTCTTTTTTTTTCTTTTTTCTTTTGACACAGGGCCTGGCTAAGTTACTGAGGTTGGTCTTGAACTTCTATTCCTCCTGTCTCAGCCTCCCCAGTCACTGGGATTACAGGTGTGTGACACCACACCTGGCTCTGTGGACTTTTTAAAAGAATTTAAATGTTTCGTGTAATATCTTGAAGTTTTAACAAGTGAAGATAATCTTTTCGTGTAAAATTTTAGTTCGAGCAGATGCCACAATGGGAATTTTTGTCTTTTAACGTACAAGTAGCCTTTCTTACTAAGAAAAAGTCACATGGATATCATTCTGTCACTGGTACCTACAAAACTCATTTGCAGTATCCCCTTCTTATCCTTATATTGTGGAGAAACATTCTGGACTGCTCAAGGATTAGGAATTATAATTATAAGCACAAATAGCTAAAGTTTTCTGCCTACAAGCATGCCAAGATAAAAGGGCAGATAGGACTTGAAATAAAAGTCTAAGATGTTGTTATTTGATAAGAAAGATCAGATTACTGGCAATGTGGAAAAAAAGTCATAGAATTTTAGAGCACTTTAAAATGAGCTTCAAGTGATCTCAGTCCATAAAGGCCTGCCCCATTCATGGAAGGAACTGCCCATGGGTGACTGCTGTGCAGAGTGTGGCAAGAAGCTTGTTATCATCTTTTGTAGGTTCAGTCACAAGAATATCAGGCAACAACTTCTCCTCCACCATCCTTAGAGAAAAGGAGGCAGGCCCCCCCCCTGTATGTTTCTTTAAATCTGTATGTTACTATGTATATATGTTAACACAAATATTTGGAAACTTTAGTCTAAGAAACTTACTGTGGGGCTGGGGATGTGGCTCAAGCAGTAATGTGCGGGGCGCTGAGTTCGATCCTCAGCACCACATAAAAAAATTTTAAAAATAAATAAAGATGTTGTGTCCATCGAAAACTGAAAAATAAATATTAAAAAATTCTCTCTCTC